GTACACATAACTCTCGGATACAATCCGAAGTTTCCACATTTATTTATCAACTGAGATTAAAATTAAAATAATGAAATATCTCTAGCAGAAACAATTATTTGTTAAAATGTCATTAGTTTAAATGAGTTTTCTTAATCTATGCTGTCGAAAGAATTTCTGACGAAACTTTAAGGATATTCAAAAATATATTTTATTTTAGTCATTTGTATATCTCAAGACAATAGAATACTCTTATCTTTACAACTAATATAAATTGAGATTTCTATCATAATTTATGGTGAGAGAGTATAAAGAAGTTATTCTTCTCGACAATAAATGACAGGCTTGTGCTATTTTAGAGCATCATTATGAAAAAGAAGTCTACAATAAAGACTAATTAAAGTTACTATTCTTTATTAGCCACATGTTAATTACGTTCTGCTCTTATAAGTTTGTCTAATTATGATTTGAAATAAAATATAAGTACATAATCATATATCTAAGAGGAGACTTCTGATGATTTTTATGTTTTAACTAGATAGGTTCCTAATATATTGTTAGTCTATGTAAACTTCTTTCTTATTCATACAATAACTGACTGTCGCTCATTACATCTTTAAGAAAATATTTCTATTATTAACAAAGTCGAACAATAATCCGTTGTATTAATATATATATATGAAGAGTGAGAGATATTTATTTGACTTTGATATAATATTGTACACATGTTATATTAAAAAACCATATTAATTTTCTATAATAGTAATAGAACAATAAAGATCGTTTTTTTTCTTTTACTTAAATAACTCTATCTAAAAAGATATTCATTTTCAAATTTACTCTTTGAAAAGAATTTTTATAATAAAATTCGTAATAATAAAGATAAGATTATAAATGCCTTGTTGAAGATTATTAAACAAAAAAAAGAAAGTTAACTCGTTTGAATACAAGAACTGAATAAAGGTTAAAAGAAGATTTGTTGAATATTTTATAATAGTATGAATTGCACTTGCACACTCTTACGCTAATAAAAGAAAGAATTAATGATCTGTTTTTTTTTCAACTTGTCATACAGTAAGGTGAAAAAGTGTTTGCCCTGTGCATAAATGAACTTTCTGTATACATCTCTTGAAGTTTTTCAAGGGTGTGTGTGAGTGAGAATGTAATTATGGTGTATGTGTTATTTACACCCACCCTCAATGGTCTTTCAAATTGTAAGATGTTACAGTCTGTTAATATCTGTATGTTGAAGATTTCTCTACATCGAATATTGAATAAATTATGGATAACATTTGGTTAATTAAAAAAAAGAATTGAGCGGTAAATAAAACAAAGTTAAAGATTTTGAAGAATATTTCAATGTGTTCATTCTCAATAAAACATCTATTTGGTATAAAAACTTCGTTATCAAATAGTTTAATATATTTAAATGAATATTGTTATATATATCCATCATATCGAAATGTAATTTTGTATAATATTGATTATAAATGTCAATATTTAATAAATTATGAAAACGAATTTGATAAATTGGAATGTTTATCACTAAGTTTAAATAAAGAATATTTGGCAATTGGATTAAATAAATGTCGTATTATTCTTTATAATCTAAAAGATAATTTAAAAAATCCAATAAAAGAAAAAATTCTTTTATTAAAACAATCAATTAATTGTAATCATATTATTTCAATAATTTTTTCAAATAATTCAAAATATCTTCTTGCACTTTAGTAAGTTGAACAAAGAAATAAATATTTAATTAATTAAAAATCAAGTGGTGAACCTGATTATATTTTAGTTTGTTGGTCAATTCAACGGTATGACGGCAAAAGATCGAGAAGAAAAAGATCGAAAAAAAAAATTTCAAAAGAATAAGAGCTCGAAAAAATGAAATTACGAAAAGCGTCTATCTTGAAAAATAAAATCTCGAAAAACCTATATCACAAAAAATAAAATTTTCGAATCTTGAGGGTGAGGGTGAGGATGTAGGTGTGGATGAGGGTGTCGGTGTAGTTGTGGATATCCTGTTATATTCATACCCATACTCAGGCCCAAACCCACTTACACCCGTTCGGAATTTTATTTTTTCGATATTTCGAAGTTCGAAGTTTTAAATTTCGGAGTTTTTTTTCGAAATTTTTGTTATTCGCCATTTAGCGTTTCGATCTTTTTCTTTTCGATCTTTTGCCAGCAATTCAATTCAACAATTTAAATCTATTGGAATATTATCTATTCATATTAATCATTCATATAATCCACTTAATCTACAAGTAATTTCGTTAATAAAAAAATTTATTTCTTTTTCTTTTTTAAAAGATTTCATTTAATCCAAATGATTCGTCTCAAATAATTTTAACTGGTAATCGTATATTCGAACAATATCGTTTAAATAATGGTCGATTATCTCAATATAAACAAGAAGAATTTGAACAATATCAATCAATGAATATAACTTGTCATTGTTGGATCAATGAAAATCATATTTTATTAGGATTAGATTATGGATTTATTTATATTATTAATAAACATGGACAAATTATACAAAAATATAATCTGTAAGTTAAAATAGGATTACCTTCAAAATCTCGAAAATAAAAATCTCGAAAAGAATATCTCGAAATACAAAATTTCCAAAAAAGTTAAATCTCGAAAAATAAATGTCGAAAATGTAAAACCTTGAAATTGGAAAAAGCTAGAAAATAATCACCAAGCGTAGGGAAGCATTCTGCTATGATATTTTCTTACGCTAACTTCGAAGGGTGGCCGTGGATGATGTTATCTTTCTCAATCACATCCACACCCACACCCACACTTATATCCATACCCACACCTACACCCACACTCACACCCTCAAGATGGCTCTTCGAGATTTTTCTTCGAGATTTTGATATCATCCCGTTAAAATACACTTGATTTCATTGAGTATAATATTATTATTGAATAGAACAAAACTTGATGAATCAAATAATAATTCATTTGTAAATATAAAAAATGAAGAAAATTTATCAAAAATGCAATCAATTTCTAAATTATCATCCAGATTAATATTAAATAAAAAATCTTTATCTACAACAAATCTTGATCAATATTCAAATTCAACATTTCATAATAATCAAAATCAAATTATTTGTTTATTACCTTTTTCACGTGGTCTTTTTGTATCAACTGCGTAAAACAAAAAATAAAATATTTAAATATTTACAAAAACATTCTTCTTTTTTTCTTTAGAAATGGATGTATTTTTATGTTTGAAAGAAGTGAAAATAATATTGATTTAACTTATTTAAGAAAATTTATTTTACCATCATCTCTAATAAACAATTTATTTCATCAAAACTTACGAAGAAATCCAACAAAATCTGCTCCAATAAGATCAATTGAAAATATATTTTTATCAGATTTATCATTTAAAAATCAAAGATCAACAACAAATGAAATTATTCACTCATTAGCTTTAAGTCCAAATGAAGAAATATTATTAGCTGCAACTAATTATAATCATTTATATGAAATTACTTTTTCCAAAATTGTAAGTTTATTAATATTTACAACACTTCATCAAAAAATCACGGAATTACTAAAGTGTTTAATATTAACAATTCTTTTTCTTTACTGAAAGAAGACATATTTGTTAGCATTAGAACCCCTTCATATATGAATTCAAAAATTATGATTACCAGTTCTTCTGAAGTGTGAGTAAAATATTAAGCTGTAGCGGCGGCGCCAGGATTCTTGACTAGGATGGGCTCAGGCCTAGTAAATTTCAAATAGGGTGGGCTCAGATAGAGTATCATTGATTTTTTTAAGATCTGAAAAAATTTCAGGGTGGGCTGAGTCCACCCTTGGCGCCGCCACTATTAACCTGTCACCTACATCCTTTCAAGACTTCAAGGCATTGGAATATCTCGGGATAAGCGGCTGCCTTAGTTTGTATTTAATGACTTTTGATGCCAATTGCTTAGGTCCGTAATAGCAGGAGTAGCCGGAAAACTTGAAATTGAAAGTTATAATCATGATTTTCTTCAGAAATTGATGTAAGTTCCACAAAATTATTTTATTACCGATGTAAATAGGAAAAAGAATTTTCTACTTACTGAAAATTTAAAGAGGGTGATCCAAAAACCATGAATTTTTCCGCACTCTAGAAATGTCGTAATATGACAGTCCTGGTCACCCAGATCACGAATCCGACATCCGTTTGTCTGGATCTGATCCCTTTCTTGCCGTGTTTACCATAGGGGGTACCTGGGTCTCAGTAGGATAGTTCTATGGGGTTTCAAACACAAACACACAAAGTATTCAGAAAATTTTCTTTTCCCTCAGATTTTGTAGAGCTTTCTTCGCTGATCATTTTCGTATAAGGAAGTTTTAAATTCTATTGAAAAATGACGACGCCATCGTCAAAATAAAAAACACAGTAAAATAGTTTAAATCCCATTTTTCCTCATAAAATATTGGAAATTGCTGGAAAAAAAAGGATCAGATCTAGACAAACGGATGACAGATTCGTGATCTGGGTGACAAGGACTTTCGTATTATGACATTTCTAGAGTGTGGAAAAACTCATCATTTTGGATCATCCCCTTTTGAAATAAAAAAAAATTGTATTTATTCCTAATAGGATTATGGAAAAAAAGAAGAAAATATATTTACATATGCATTGAATAATAGTCATAATGGATCTGTAACAACAGGTACATTATGTATTCGTAAATCATTATTATTTACTATTGGTATTGATCATTATCTTAAAATATGGAATTTGCAAACAAAGTTAGTTTTAAATAAATAAAAATGAAAGAAATATTTTTAATAATAGTACTCAAGAATTAAATCATCAATTTGATAATGAACCATTATTACTAAGTGTTCATCCAAGTGGATATTTCGTATGTATTTCATTTTCTAATATTCTTATTAT